AAAAAAAAAAAAAAAAAAAAAAAAAAATAAAACACATCAACTCATACCATAGTGCACCATACGTAGAGACCAAGGAAGAAGAAAAGAGAAAAAAAAAAAAAATGAAGTAGGTAAGAAAAACAATAGACCTATGTCTTTTGCTTTAACTGAAGAAGTGTCTCTTTAGAAAGAGTTTGGAATGTTTCACCTCTTTCAAACATCGCCAGCAGCAACGGAGAAGGTGGAGAAATGACCCCAAGTTCTCTTGACATGTACAACATACACTTTACAAGCGTTGCAAACTCAATGTAGTTATCCACACAGGAGAGTAATCCACCAGTAGATGGATTTAACGTAAGTGCACTAATAGAAATAAGATTAATATCTTGTACAGTTTCAACACATCCTTCTAGTAGTATAGAAGAACTCTCATTCACAAGAACAGCTAAAAGTCGGATAAGAACATCATTCCACGTAATTTGTTTTCGCCTCATACTCATACTCACAACATCTCGGTTTAAATGACCAGTTCGATTATAAAAACCGCCATGGCAACTACAGTCACCACCATAACCTTCTACATTCATCTGAGATAATAACTGAAAAGCTGCAGAAACGGTCTGTCTTTCCTCTATCATATGTGTATACTGTTGTAGCATACGTGAAAGTCGTGATGTGTCATAATAATCCATCAGTTGAAATGGACTAATTCGGAAACCCAAATACTGTTTTGCAATAGCTTCAATAATCCCCATATCTACTTCCAGAGAGAGTTGACATAATTCCATTGAGAGTGCTGCAACGAGACGTTTACCAACATCACCTTTGCTCACAATATAAGGTATTTCTTTAGATTGTAAATAGGCTAAAGCAGAAGAGAGAATTTCTTTCCTTTTCTCAGTACTCACCATTGGCGTACTACGTAAATGAACCTCCATTATAGTTCCTTCACAAGTCGATATTAACTTTGTTGGACACAAAGGTGTAACAATGACGGCACAATCTAACATTTCTACCGCCTCATTCATATATTCTGCATCCCCAAACATCATAGCAGTTTGGATCTCTGAACTTCCTCTACTAGCACGTTGCTCAGCAATTAATCGAACGATTGCAGGTGATGAACCTTCAGGAAAAACCAAAAAAGAATTTAATTTCTTACCATTATTTAAGTCTGTTAAACCCATCTCTACATACTCTTCAAGACGAGGTGATGGTGGTGGTTCTAACAGTCGACGGTGCATACGACGAAGAGAATTTACAACCGTTGCTGTATTAAGAAATTCAGAAGTTCCCAAAAGTGTCGCATACAATTCCAAACATTCATTATCTTTAGAATAAGAAATAGTATTGATTCTATTGTTTTTATCTGTAGATTTCACAACTCCACAATATACATCCCATTGATCCAGAATAAAATCCCCTCTTTTCTTCTTTATTGGGTAATATTTTGACTTAAATCCAAAAAAACTATATATTGTTTTCATACTTTCCAAAGAAAATAAATAAACTTTATCCCATATACGGGATATTTCATGATCAGTGGATTGTAATCCTCGTATTAGTTTCGGATATGTCTTATTTATTTTCTCCCATGAGAGGGTGTGTAGAGTGGGAATCACAATACAAGCATTCTCCAATAAATTCATTGTAAAGGAAACATGTTTTACTACATATGGAGATGGCCATACACCTAGGGGAATAGATGGAAATCCTATTTTTATAGAAGAAGTATCCAAATTAGATGCTAAGGAACCATTACAAAAAAAGAAAAGCTCAGCTCCAAAGTCAAGTGCAGAACCATGTAATTCTGCCTTAAAAGATATACCTCGAGTTAAAGCATCTTCTTGCATACGTTGAAACAGTCTTTCCTTTGACATCATTAACTCAAGTCGGGATAAAGGAGTCAACTCAAGTTCAGATTGCAGAGGTGTAAAGAAAGGAAGGTTGGGCACTGTACGAAACATCAAAGTTATTTCTGAATTCGTCGACTCTGTCAAAGATTCCACTTTAGATAAAGTTTGACTTATTAGAGTAATAATCCCTCGTATGGATCGGGGTTGTTTGTGAAGTTCAAGTGTGAAGATTGAGTTGTGTAAAGATGTCACGTGAAGTACCGAATCAATTTCTAAAGGATCTACTACAGTCTCTTCGGTATTCGACCAACATGAAAGCACATCTTGAGATCCAGCTGTCTTGATGGTGTTTTGATCTTGAGAACTTTTTTCCGATAAATGTTCCCCAACAACTTCATTTAATTCCACAGAAGTTTCAGATAATTTGTTATCATTATCATCATTATTCTTCTCCTTAACTATACTTTTGGATTGCATATTAATATGTTGATTCTCAGTTTCCAGAGATTCATTCTTTGCTAATTGAAACAGCGCACCTTCTAACTCTTGTAATGTACACGCAATATCTGTATACATGGGTGGCTCTGCAATCACCACTGGGTTTTGTAATTTACGTACAACTTCCTTCTGCCTTGTTGAATGCTCATGCAATGGATCCTGTTTTTTCATCACCTCTTTACTTGTTTGCTTTGATCGCAGCATTGAAGCCGAGACCCGCAGTTTGTGTCCGCCACGACCCCGCCGGGCTCCCAGGCGGTTAATTTCTCTCAACAGGCCGTCCACATCCCCTCGCGGGTGTTGAGAGCGGGCGGCAACATATCGAAACACCGCAGGAGACCACAAGCCATCGCCTGAGACGTACGGGGTTGGGCATAAACGCCGCATATGTCCTCGTTTTTTTTTTTTTTTTCTATTTATATGCTTATCCCTCCCCCCACCTTTTTTTTTTGTTTTTTCATGGTTATAAGATGAAAGTAGAAAAAAAGAGAGATAGAGAGAGAAAGGTGTAAATAAAAAATAAAATAAAAAAGAGAAAAAACATTTTTGTACACACGCACATACACAGATAAACTCATACACCACGACATATATATATATATATATATATATA